AATAGAGGCAGTGGGGGGGCAGAAGGGTTGGTCTCCACCCCACTCCCCCCATCCTCTCATCCCCACCCCCCATCAGTCATTGTTTCATTCAAAGCTTCTACTCAGTGGAATCCTTCCCATTGCTGTAGAGAGAAGCAGGCTCTGATTTCCCAGCCAATGACCTTGCCAGGCAGTGACATGTCTTTTGTTGCTTCTGGTTTCATGTTTTAAAAATCCTTCCCATCACCTTGCTAGAGCCATTTTTCTTTATGTTTTATCCATTCAGTTTTCTAAAGTACAAAGATTGCTTTTAATTCATCAAATTAAAAGTCTGTTTTTTTAAACATTTATTTCTGTGTGCATGTGTGTGGGGGGAGAGGGGTCAGAAGACAATTTCCTGGAGTTGGTTCTCTTCTTCCACCATATGAATCCCAGGGATCAAACTCAGGTCATCAGTCTTAGTGGCAAACACATTAACTCACTGGGACATCTGATCAGTTCCAATTTTTTTTTTAAATAAGTTTTGTTTTTAGGATCATAAGAAAGCACCTTTGTAGCTATAACAATGGAAAAGCACATACTAAAATTTGTAAAATAACTAATGGCAAGCGGAAATGATAGAAATTTGTATCTTGGGTATTGGTTTCCATACTAGTTATAGCTACATATTTTCAAAGTCACCTTCACAGAAAACATCAGCTACAAATCTGCAAGTTACTCCGGAGCTGGCTGGCTGAGGAGAGGGTGACTCCCTTTCCAATGAATGCTAACAAGAAATGACACAAATAAAAACAGGCTGTGGCAAAAGAGACAGAAAGGACAGAACATTTTACAAGACAAAGAGGACAGTTACCCTCGTTTTCCTAAGCTCCATCTGACCTGTAGTAGATGCTGGACAGCACATGAAGACACCAAATTGTGACGGAAAATGCCAAATCAGCCAGTTGCAGCAGACTTCAACCAATCAATCACTAAGGGAGTCCCCACCTTCTCACCTCCCCCAGGTGTTCATCTTTCCTTTTCAGCCATTGTTCTCAAAGTTTGGAGGGTTGAGTTGCAATTTCCAATTCTTCAAGGGATTCCTGTAGGGTATTCTAAACATAGCAGATGCTTGAAGAAATCCTTCGTGAATCTGGAACCCGGCTGGGAGGTTTTCATATCATCCGACACCCTTGCCAGCCTCAGAAATCAGATCCCCCCTCTTAACAAGACTACCAACTTTGCTGACATTTTAAGTAGAAGAAAAATTGAACTTAAAGACGTTCAAAACAATTCCATGGTGCCAAAGAGTAAACTGTGAGCCCACAAAGCAGTCAGTTGGTTTTCTAAGACAGAATGGATCCGGCTGCCAGGGAACTCTCTGGCGTGCTAAGCTGAGCCGACAGCAGACAATCGTGGGAACATTAGGAAGGCTAGGCTTTAAAATGCAACAATCTCCTAACAGGAGAGACTGCACTACAAAGGATGGAAGTGCTAACGAGAAAGTCCAAACACTCGCTGCTTTCAGGTGACGATGTCCTTCAGGATGCTCCTTGCCCAGTTCCTGGTCATCTGTGCCCAAAGGATGATTTTTTTTTTTTAATTCCCCCTTTTACGTCATATGTGCACACTCAGCATACTGAGTGTACGCACCCTCTTAAGCACTCCCTGAATTTCTCTAAATGGCTCCTGCTTTAATCTAGAAATGCCAGGGATGCGGTCCCGCTCTCTTTGGTGGCATAAAGCGCATTGCAGCACGTGATGAAAGTCCCAGGGGAAAAGGAAATGGTCTCGGATAATCCTGCCGGCACGCACCTCCGAGCCCAGAGAGCGGAGTCTCATTTCCATAGCTAAAGCTGTATCAGAATGGGGAGGTTGAAGGGTCAAAGCAGCCGGGGTGTCTTGCTTTAAAGCAGGGCAGGGACGGACCTGGCAGGCTTCAGGACGACCTGGCTCTGCTCAGCCTTCAGTGTCATCTGTTCTAAGGTTTGTCTGACTTCATTGCCCAGTTTAAATGGCCCACATTATCTACACAGCTATAGGATACATATCCAACGCAACACTAGCCCAGCACAATGCTGCTACATGGAATCCCAGTCAGAACTGTTTTCCTGGCGCACAGCACCCAAGGGAGTCAACATCAGGCTGCTCTTTGGTGATCAATGTTCCTAAGCAAAGAGGAAAGAAGCCACCTTGCCTGCCGCGATTTCCTGCTGTGATATGGCAATGTAGGCAGATGCAAGTTCAGAACTTGAATACTTAGATGTTATAGGATCTAAGTAGTGGGGGGGGGGAGCTTTATGTCTGACCCACATGAATGAAATATGAATTATGGTGCTATCCTTGAGGGCTGCTGTGAGAATAAGAGATTAAAAACAATTCTTGGCCTAATTTGATTTTTCTTTTCCATTTACTCAGTCTGTCTCCAGCTACATCTTACTACTGTCTAACGAGCCCTCTGAGAAAATATTTCCAGATTCTAAGTAAATAGCATTACTGAGAACTAGCAAATGCAATACCAAGGATGTTTTTGGGTTTGCAGGAAGATGAATAACCTGCAGAGAGCCTGCCTGGTCCAACAAAGCACACTGCCAGACCAGGCTGGGCAAGGCCAATGCTACACCCAGGCACAAAATGTACTGTTTCCAGTGCACACACCTTCACATGATCTGAAGGGCAGGCAGGAAGGCCCATCACTAAAGAATGTTTAAAGGTTGGGGGTAGTCAGTTTGAATAACAACAGTTCTGTTAAATCTCCTCTAGCCTTTATTGTTTTGTTATACTAATTAGTACTGTCTATACGGTGTTTACTACAAGTTAAGATATTGGGTACGCTAGTCTCATTGCTGATTCTAAAATGATTTTGTTGCTGTTGTTGTTGAGTATTGTATGATATAAAGTTTTGTATATTCCAGACTGGCCTAGAACTATGTAGTGAGGTTGATCTTGAATTCCTGGTCTGCTTGCCATTAGTTCCCAAGTGGTGCGATCTCAAGAATGTGTCACCATGCTCAACTCTCCAAGTGTTCAAAATAAATAAAATAAAACAATAAAGATTTTAAGGAAATATCTATCTATGCAAAACCTTTTATAACTAATAAAGTATTCTCTAAAAAAAAAAACCTTCTTTTATGTATGAACATTTGCCTGCATATACATACATGTATCATGTGTGTGCCTGGTGCCCTTGGAGGCCAGAAGATGGTGTCAGATCCCTTGGAACTGGAGTTATAGATGGTTGTTGGGTGTTGGGAACCAAACTTGGGTCTCTGCAAGAGTAGCAAGTGCTCTTAACTGTTGAGCCAGATTTCCCACTCCCCTACCTGCCAAAGTGGCTTTTTTTTTGGTGGGGGTTTGAGACAGGGCTTCTCTGTGTAGCTTTGGAGCCTGTCCAGGAACTCACTCTGGAGACCAGGCTGGCCTCAAACTCACAAAGATCTGCCTGCCTCTGCCTCCCGAGTGCTGGGATTAAAGGTGTGCTCCACTAACGCCTGACAAAATCAAGTGTGTTTTTAAACATTCATTTTGTATTTGATGAGAGCATGAAAGAGAGACCCTTTATTAAGTAAAGAAAGTTCTCTTGTTATCAAGTTTGCTATGGATTTCTATCAGGATTAGCATTGACTTTTATGCAAAATTTTTCCTATTCAGAGGAAAGGAAGGGGTAAAAAGGAAGCTGTAAAAAAGAGGGGAGGTGTGGGTAGGAAGGGAATGAAGATGGTCGTAAAGGTCATACTTTTCCATAAAGGATTTATTCAGTTTAAGGTATCTCATGAGCCAACTGCAAACAAAAGAGAATACAACACTCTGTGTGACTGTATTTTTAACATGAGCTCTTCTTAATGTCTTTTTATATTCTTGTTCTAGTTCTAGCAGTGACCTTTCAATCTCCTCAATCTTCCTCCCAAGAGGTAAAAGCAAAGCAGATGGTATCGTGTAAGAAACTGCCTACCACATCAACAGAATGCAGCACCATTTCTCTTTTCTTTCTTCAAAACAGTTCCACAGAAATAGACCTACAGAGAACCCTTCATTTTCTCTGCACTTCATGTTGCAGCCAGAGTGGGGTTGAGAACAACATGAATACAGTGTACATCATGTCTGCAGCTGCGTTGTGATTCCACCTTTACCGAGCCACCACTACTCCCCAGGAATGGCTGGAATTGTATCCATTAGCACAGGCACATAGACCATATTACTACAGGGCAAGGCAATGACCCTGCTCCTGGTCAGGAGGTGAGAAGAACTATTTATGTCAGTGGGTGCCTTTGCCCATGAGCTGAAAGGGTCACCTGAGCAAACAAATAAACCAACAACAACTTTCAAACATTTGGACATGACAGGGGAACTTTAGCAGGGCTAGCATCACCTCTAGTCTACCCTCTGCCTATCTAAGGTGGCTTTCATCATTCTCATGTTAAATACCAA